CCTCAAGAGGGCCGCGAGATGCCCAAGAGGGCCACAAGACTGCCCAAGAGGCACCCAAGACTGCCAAATTACCCCAGCGAAGCAGACCAATAGGAACAAAGGTGACAGCCATGATAAGGGTGAGAGCACGGCCATGTGAATCTTAGCGCATTCCTTTACGAGGCACCGTGGCCGTCCGGACCAGACATGCAGCCAGCATTCGGGCGAGAGCACGATTCCTGAATCCCACCAGCCCTCTGGGCGTGGGTGGTTTAGGGCGCTTCTTATTCGTCCAACCCCCCTTCGTCCACGTCAGGGAGGCGCGCCTGGCGCGCGTGGCGCGCCTGGCACGCCTGGTGCACCTCGCCACAGCGTTGCGCAGCTGGGGTCTGTGTTGGTTCCTATGAGCTGTCCAGCCAAAGCCTACCGCTGAACACGCTGCGGCTCGGGTGCTACTTTTGTGTTGGGAGGGCGGGTGGGAGTGAGCGAGAGGGCTTGCGGGCGGGGAGGGTGTCTTGACCCCTCCCCCTAATTACCCTACCCCCTCCCCCTGGGTTGGAGGGGGGCGCGAGGGGTTGGAGTGTCCAAGATGGCGTCGCTGAGGAAGCCGAAATCACTGAATGTTACTAGAGTTTTGACCACATGTTGGCCTCCGGCTCCCAAGAGTGCCCCAAGTGGGCCCAAGATGCGCCCAGGAGGCGCCAAGAGGCACCCAAAATGCCTTTAAGATGCTCCCAACAGACCCCATGAGGCTCCAAGAGGCTCCCCAGAGGCATCCAAGACGCTTGAAGAGGCACCTGGGACCGCCAAGAGGCCCGCAAGACGCCCCTGCAGGCCTACAAGCTCTCGAGAGACCTCCGAAGAGACTCCGATAAGCATCCAAGAGGTCTCTGGCCTTTCTTGTCGCCCTCTTCTTCCTCTCCCTCATAATCCTAATCCTTCTCCTCCTCCTCCTCCTCCTCCTCCTCCTCCTCCTCCTCGTCCTCCTCCTCGTCCTCCTCCTCCTCCTCCTCCTCCTCCTCCCCCTCCTTCCTCTCCTCCTGATCCTCCTGATCCTCCTCCTCCTCCTCCTCCTCCTCCTCCTCCTCCTCCTCCCTCCTCCCCCTCCTCCTCCTCCTCCTCCTCCTCCTCCTCCTCCTCCTCTCCTCCTCCACTCCTCCTCTCCTCCTCCTCCTCCTCCTCCTCCTCCTCCTCCTCCTCCGCCTCCTCCTCATTCCCCTCCTCCTCCTCCCCCCTCACCCTCCTCCTCCTCCTCGTCCTCCTCCTCCTCCTTCTCCTCCTTCCTCTCCTCCTCCTCCTCCTCCTCCTCCTCCTCCTCCTCCTCCTCCTCCTCCTCCTCCTCCTCCCTCCTCCCTCCTCCTCCTCCTCCTCCTCCTCCGCCTCCTCCTCATTCCCTCCTCCTCCTCCTCCTCCTCCTCCTCCTCCTCCTCCTCCTCTTCCTCGCCTGGTCCCTCCTCCATCCTACCCCTCTTGGGGTATGCTCCCCAGCCGTCATTTCACTGCGTGCTCTCCCACATGCCTGGTCAGGGCAAGTCGCCTGGGAGTCGTTTCTGGATCAGGTGGTGGGGTTACGCGAAGTGTCTAGAATCTATTGCAAGAACATCTCAAGCGAAACGGCTGCCAGACTGGCTGCCCAACGGGCTGCCAGACCGTGCGGTCTTAGGCTCCCTGTCCCTCCATGTGGGACTTGTCTGAAGTCCTTTTGACATCTATGAGAACCCTCCAGCGAAACGCTATCATGGAGAAGGCCTTCAAGAGGGCCCCAAGAGGGGCCAGAGTGGGGCCAAAGAGGGAGAACTCGTAGGGGCACTCCCCATAAGATGACCCCCAGGACGCCCAGCACGGCCCCAAGATGCTCCGAAGAAGCCCTCAGAGGGCTCCACAAAACACCCAGGAGCCCCGAAAAAACTTCGAAGAGGCCGCCCCCGAAGCATCCAGGAGGCCCACAAACAAGCCCCGCAACAGACGCTGAGGAAGAGGATGATGAGGATGAGGATGAGGATGAGGATTAGGATGAGGATGATGATGCTGCTGATGATGCTGCTGCTGATGATAATGATGATGATGATGATGATGACAATAATACTGATGATAATGCTGCTGATGATGGTGATGCTGCTGATGCTGATGATGATGCTGACGCTGATGGTTACGATGATGATGGTGATGATATCGGTAGTGATGATGGTGATGCTGGTGATGACGATGCTGCTGCTGCTGATGATGCTGATTATGCTGCTGATGATGATGCTGCTGATGATGCGTACGTATGACTATGACTATGCTGATGCTGCGGGTGATGATGAGGATGATGATGCTGTTGATGATGGTGGTGCTGATGCTGACGCTGCTGGTGATGATAGTAGTGATACTGATTGTGATGGTGATGATGGGCATGGTGATGGTAATGATGATGCGTACGATGATGATGATGATGATGCTGATGACGATGATGACGATGGCGATGCTCTTGATGATGGTGCTGATGGTTGTGATGATGAGGTTGATTCTGAGTATGGCGGTAATGATGGTGATGATGAAGATACATATGACGATGCTGATGCCGATGATGATGATGATGCTGATGGTGGTGGTGGTGATGATGGGGATGTTGATGGTGATGGTGGTGGTGATGAAGACGACGATGACCATGACAATGGCAATGACGATGACAATGACAATTAAGATGAAGATGAGGATGATGATGAAGATGAGGATGAGGATGATGACGCTGATGAGGATGGCGTTGATGCTGATGCTGATGATGATCATGATGATGATACTGATGATGATGATGATGATGCTGATGATGATGATGATGATGATGATGATGATGATGATGATGATGATCACGTGTAAAAAGAAGAGGAGGAGAAGGAGGAGCAGGAGGATGCGGAAAAAGATGAGAGTAGTGAGAAGGAGGTACAACATGAGAAGGCGGAGACGGAGAGAACGCCAGACGGCAAACGAATCATGGTGGCAAGCAAGCCCCTCATCTTTTTCGGAGCGAGAGAGGAGCAGGAGGAGGAGGAGGGAGGAGCGGAGAGGAGCGGGAGGAGCAGGAGAGGAGCAGGAGGAGGAGGAGGAGGAGGAGGAAGAGGGAGGAGGGAGGGAGGACGATAATAGAGAGAGGGAGAGGGGTAGAGGTAGAGGCAGAGGTAGAGGTAAATGTAGAGGTCGAGTTAAAGGTAGAGGTAGAGATGGAGGAAGAGGCAGAGAGAGAGAGAGAGACAGAGATAAATATATATGTGTAAAAGAGAGAGAGAGAGAGAGAGAGAGAGAGAGAGAGAGAGAGAGAAAGAAAGAGAGAAAGAGAGAGAGGAAGATGAAGAGGATGAGGAGGGGGAGGAGGGAGGAGGGCAGGGGTCGGAGGGAGGAGGAGGAGGAGGAAGGCATAGGGAAGATGGAAAGGGAGGAGTTTGAGAAGGAGGACGACGAGGAGGGCGACGACGATGACGAAATGGGGCTGAATGAAGAGGACCGCGTTCGAAGTGCAACCCCCTTCCCGACCTGGCGCCTGATGACTTCTGCGAGCTGGAGTGGCCCTGGAGGGGCGAATCCCTCTCCGCTATGGCCCGAGCTGCATCCCCCGAGAGCCCCGTCGACAGAGGGTGCCCGGGAGAGAGGCTGCACCTCGCACTGCCGCAGGGGGGGGGCCTTGGATTCGAGGTTCTGCGCCAAAAGAGGCGAGGCGCAAGAGGCTCTGTCGGGCCCCGAGGAGGAGGAGGAGGAGGAGGAGGAGGAGGAGGAGGAGGAGGAGGAGCAGTCTGACCCCCACTTAAGGCGCAGAGACGGGCGTTTCCAGAGGCGCCCCCCTGGCCCGAGATGACCCCAGGTTTTCCAGGGATGCCTCCATGACCTCCAGTGGCCCCCGCACATGGCCCAGAGCGGTCCTCGGGGACCTCGAGATGGGCTGAACGCTGGGGAAGCACCTCGGGAGTACTGCAGTCAACACCCGAAAGCAAGAAGACACAGCCCAGCACGGACAAGAGAGCATTATCGAAACCAATTGCACTAGCCAGCTGAACCTGCCAACCCAGCCAGCCCAACCAGCCAATCAGCCCAACCAGCCACCCTGCCACCCAGCCAACCCGTCAGCCAACCACCCCAACCGGCCACTCCGCCACCCAGCCAACCAGCCAACCCGCCCAACCCCGCCGCCTGCCCTCCGTCACCGCCGAGGGAGGGGGTGGGGAGTGTTTCTTACAGCACGGATGAGAAAGTACTGCGGTCGGGAACTTTTGCTTAGCGTGTCGCCGCGGCGGCCCCGGCGACACGCGATGGCCCGCAAGCGGAGAGCGTGCCGCTCCGCTCCGCAGGGCGGGAGGCTCGGAAAGGCTCGGGTCTGAAGCCCGGGGGCCAGGAAGCGGACAGCGTGTCGCGCCGAAAGCGCGATGGGCCAGAACCGGCGGCCCGACACGCTGAGCCAAAGTTCTGACCGTGCTGTAGCTGCGCTGTGCTGTCATCCAATGGGGCGCACAAGGACATACTATTACTGTGTCCTGCTAGGAGACGCGCCTCAGACCCGAACATATAGTAGAACCATCTTCTAGTGTATCGCTGCCCGAGCGGTGTGGCCAGAAAGCGCCCGCCACGACGCACGTACTGTCAGATTTCTCGGTGCGCGCGTCGCCCCTGGCGGGGCGACGCACACATAGTATTAGTATGTTGGGGGGGGCGTCGATCCAAGGCCCCCCACCCAGAGGAGGCGGCTGAGGGGCAGGAGAGCCCAGAATCGAATCGACAAGTCGGATCGGCGATCGAAATGAATCGGATCGGCGGAAATCGGCAGCTGAGTCGGGAAAAGTCGAATCGGCGGAAATCGGCAGCCCAGTCGGCCTCCGTTGAGAAAGCGGAGCCCGAATCGGAATCCGAAGTCGAACCGAATCGGAATCGGAAACCATCGAAATCGACTCGAAGCGAATCGGAGGAATCGAAACGAGCCCTGGGGAGGGGGGAGGGCGTGATCGCGCTGCGCCCACCGCGCGAATCTCGCAGAGCCTCCGGAGCGCGGGCGGCCCTCAGAGCGGCAGGGGCGCCGGGGGCAGCCCAGCGCTGGTCGGGGGGAGGCGTCCTGGCGGGCGCGGTGCAGTAGGGACATCGAGTACGGCGTAGATGAAAACCCAGCGGTTGGCGGAAGAAGGAGATAGAAACATGAAGTAGGAAGGCGTTGAAAGTAGATTGGGTGTCCGCCCGCCCCCTCAAGAGGACGGAAAAGGTGAAGCCACTCGATCATTGAAGCAGGAAGGCGCTTAAAGTAGATTGGAGAGAGCGCGTTTCATGGGCGCTTGCCTTGGGAACATTCGGCGGCGCGTTTCGAAACGGGGGGGCCTCCCAAACACTCGGCGCCGACGATTAGAGCCAGGGGGACTCCCCTCCCCCCTAACCCCCCCCCTCCCCAACCCCCCCGCAGTTTAGCACTCCCCCCCTCATTCCCACGGGGGGCGGGGTTCCACCCCCCCTCACCACACCACCACCACCACCACCACCACCACCACCACCACCACCACCACCACCACCACCACCACCACCACCACCACCACCACCACCACCACCACCACCACCACCACCACCACCACCACCACCACCACCACCACCACCACCACCACCACCACCCCCACCACCACCACCAACACCACCACCACCACCACCACCACCACCACCACCACCACCACCACCACCACCACCACCACCACCACCACCACCACCACCACCAACCTACCACCTACCACCTACCACCTACCACCTACCACCTACCACCTACCACCTACCACCTACCACCTACCACCTACCACCTACCACCACCACCGCCACCACCACCACCACCACCACCCACCACCCACCACCCACCACCACCACCACCACCACCACCACCACCACCACCACCACCACCACCACCACCACCACACACCACCACCACTACCACCACCACCACCACCACCACCACCACCACCCACCACCACCCACCACCACCAACAACCACCACCACCACCACCACCACCACCACCACCACCACCACCACCAACACCACCACCCCACCACCACCACCACCACCACCACCACCACCACCACCACCACCACCCACCACCACCACCACACCACCACCACCACCCCACCACCACCACCACCACCACCACCACCCCACCACCACCACCACCACCACCACACCACCACCCACCACCACCACCCCACCACCACCACCACCACCCACCGCCCACAACAGCCCCACCACCCACCACCAACCACCCAACACCCCACCCACCACCTACCACCCACCACCGCCATCAGAACCACCACCAGCAGCACCACCACCCCCACCAACACCACAGCCCACCACCACCACCACCAACAACAACAACAAGAACAATAACAAGAACAATAACAAGAACAATAACAATAACAACAACAATAGCAACAACAACAACAACAACAACAACAACAACAACAACAACAACAACAACAACAACAACAACAGCAACAACACGACAAACCACCACGCCACTACCACCACAACCACCACCGCCACCACCACTACCACCACCACCACCACCACTTCAACCCACCACCACCACCACAAACCATCACACAACCAGCACCACCACAGCCACCACCACCACCATCACCACAACCACAACAACCCACCACCACCACCACAACCACCACGACAACCCACCACCACTACCACAACCACCACCACCACCCACCACCACCACCACAACCACGACCGCCACAACCACCGCCACCACTACCAGCAGCACAACCCACCACCACCACCACACCACCACCAAAATCCGAAACACCCAAAAAAAAAAAAAAGAAGAAAGAGACAGAAAACACCACCACCCCGAAACCACCACACCACCACCACCACCACCACCACCACCACCATCGCAAGCCACCACACCAGCACCACCACCACCACCGCCACAACCACAACCTCACCACCAGAACAACCTACCACCGCTACCACCACCACCACCACCACCACCGCCACCTCCACAACCCACCACCACCACCACCACCGCCACCACCACCACGACCACGAATTACCACAACACAGCCACCACCACCACCACCGACACCACCACCACCACCACCACCACCACCACCACGACCCCCCACCACCACCACGACCACCACCACAAACCACCACACCATCACCACCACAACCACCCACCACCGCAACCACCACTTCCACAACAAACCACCACACCACCAACACCACCACAACAACCATCATCGACACCATCACCACCACCACCATAATCCATTACCACCACAACCACTACCATCACCACAACCACCACGACAAACCACCACACCACCACTGCCACCAGCACCACCACCACAAACCACCACCACCACCAAAACCACCATGACAAACCACCACACCACCGCCACAACCCACCACCACCACCGCAAACACCACCACCACAGCCTGCCACCACAACCACATCAACAACAACCACCACCAACACCACAACCACCACAAGCCACCACCACACCACCACACCACCACCACCACCACTACCACAAACCACCACACCACCACCACCACCACCACCATCACCGCAAACCACCACACCACCACTACCACCACCACCGCCACAACTACCACCACCACCACCACCACCACCACCACCACCACCACCACCACCACCACCGCAGCCCACCACCACCACCACCACAACCACCACCACCACCACCACCACCACCTCAGAGAGGCCCCAAGAGACGCCCAAAAGGCGCCCAGGAGGCTTCACAAATGCCCGTCCGAGGCCCCCGAGAGCCCTCCGACGAGAACCCAGGAGGCATCCATTAGGACTCCGACTCAAAACCAAGGCACGCTGGCGGAGCGTCGTCGTCGTCGCCATCGTCGTGTCATCGTCGTCGCCGTCGTCCTCGTCGACGCTCCCCGCCGCCGCCGCCAGCCGCCGCAGGCGCTGGCGCCGTCCCAGAAAAGGAAAACGTCGTCTTCATCGACGCTCCCCGCCGCCGCCGCCAGCCGCCGCCGACACCAGCGCCAGCCCGAGTAGAAGTAGAGAGAAGGACGGGGGGGGGCTCGAACCCCACCCCTTCCGTCACCGGAGAGGGGGCGGGGGGCGGGAGTCGAACCACCCCCGCTTCAATCCAGAGGGATGGGGGGGTCCGGTTCCAACACCCCCCCCCTTCCAAGCGCCCACAGAACGCGCTCTTCCGCAGATTGGAATCAGGAGCTCTAAAACTACCTACTTTCAGCGACCGATGGGTACACAAGAAAGCCAACCCTGAAATCCCCCGCGGTTTCTTGGTCCAGGGTTGGGTTTCTTGCAGTTCGGGTGCAGGCGAAGAAGCCCAGGGTACCCTGCCCCGATCGGTGTCGCGATCGCTTGTGAAGGCAGCTTGGCACCGAGAAACCCAGAGCGATCGAACATGCAAGCTTGGGGCTTTGCACAAACAGAGAGAAAGATGACGACTTCTCCCCGCCACCAGGAATACCTGCCAGCAGGTGCCCCATGGGAATCCCGAATGCCCCAACTGCCCTCGGGATTCACAGAAGTCCGTGGACACCTCGGTGTGGATTTCGGATCACCATGTTCATGGTTGGATCCAGTTCAGTTTCGCCCCCCCCCCCCCCCGCGACTTTGGGATCCTTCTGGTATTCGGAAAACGGAGACAGATAGAGAGAGAGAGAGAGAAAACAACAAAAAACAATATAGATATATAACAAATAAAGAGGCTGGATCCCCCCCACCACCAAAGATCCGCCTCAGAAGCGATTTTCGCGATTCCTCTTCGTCTCCTCGCCTCCGCGTGGCCTCTCTTATCCTCATCCCCTGCCTCCTCATCCTCGCTGACGTCGTCCTCCTCCTCCTCCTCCTGCCTAGTCTCATCTTCCGCAGAATTCTCCTCCACCTCGTCCAGGTCCTTCTGTGGCGGCTTCACAAACGAATCTACTCCTGCAGGCAGTGACAGCCGACTCGGCTTTGGGAAGGGGGTACACATCGATTCTCTATGCGGGAGGGGGAACAGAAAACAAAAGAACACGCAAACAAAACAAAACACATTGCAACACGCACAGACTCCATCCACCGTTCCACTGCTCCACCACCCTCTCTCCTCGTTCACCCCCCTTTCCTCCCACCTCCCCGCCTTTCACTCGTCCTCCTCCTCCTCCTCCTCCTCCTCCTCCTCCTCCTCCTCCTCCTCCTTCTCCTCCCCCATCCCCGCATCCCCCCCCCCGCCTCGCCTTCCATCATCCCTGCTGCGCCTTCCTCCCGCCTCCCTCCTCTCCCTCCAGAGGATGAAGAGGAGGAGGAGGAGGAGGAGGAGGAGGAGGAGGAGGAGGAAGAAAAGGAGAGAGGCTTAAGGGGGGGGGGACGAGAAGTAGGGGGAGGGGGGGGCAAGCTAGGTGCGCTCGCGTCATATCTGACGTCCTACCCCTCCCTCCCATCCCTACCATGGCGAAGATCTCCTCTCTATTCGCACAGTCGGATGTCGTAGCATGGCATAGCATTACATGGCATAGCATGGTGTTGACGATCAACGCGTAGCATGCCATAGCATGGCGTGGCGACGCCCCAGTGGGAGGGGGCTTCTGCGGCGTAAAGCATCAACGAGTCGACACCGAATGTGAAATCACTTCCGATGGTTTTCTCGGGGGGGGGGGGGAGGGCATTTTTTAATGTTTGGGGGCCTATTTGGAAGGATCGAAAACCATGCCGTGGCATGGCACTGGAAATAATGACGCCAGCGCTGCAGCGGGAGCACGATTCGGAACGAGCGGAAGCGCGGAAATGAGTCCAGCGCTGCAGCGGGAGCACGATTCGGAACGAGCGGAAGCGCGGAAATGAGGCCAGCGCTGCAGCGGGACGGTAAGGGGACAAAAAAGTGCAACCCCATTCGTCTTCGACCCCGCGTTCGCCCCCCCTCCCCCCAATTTCAAAGTTGGCTTCGGCCTCCCGGAGGCTCTGCGGGTTCCTCTTTTTTTGTCCTCGCGCGCCTGTGCTGCCGAATGCTTGAGGCCAACTTTGAAATTTGTGGGGGGAACGTGGTGTCAAAGGTTCCACTTTTTGTCCGTCTACGGGAGCACGATTCGGAACGAGCGGAAGCTCGAAAATGAGGTCAACGCTTCAGCGGGAACACCATTAAAAAAAACAGCGGAAATCCAACTCCCGGGAATCCTGCGTGTAAAAAACAATACGCGGAGGGGGGCCAGATACCTTCGGGAAGTCATCAGGGGAGAGAGGAGAGTAGTATTCGTATTGTGTAATTGTGGAGCAGGAGTGAAAGGCGGGGATGTGGGAGAAAGGTGGTGGAACAAGAAGAGAGGGGGGTACAATGGGGCACGGTGGAGCAATGGAATGGTGAAGTCTTGACAGTGTGTTTGCTCCGTGTTTTGGTTGCCCACTATGTTTCATGTTGTGTGTGTGTGTCTTTGTGTGCGTGTGTCTGTCTGTCTGTCTGTCTGTCTGTCTGTCTGTCTGTCTGTCTGTCTGTCTGTCTGTCTGCCTGTCTCTCTGCCTGCCTGCCTTCCTGCCTGCCTGCCTGCCTGTCTGTCTGTCTGTCTGTCTGTCTGTCTGTCTGTCTGTCTGTCTGTCTGTCTGTCTGTCTGTCTGTCGGTCTGTCTGTCTGTCTGTCTGTCTGTCTGTCGGTCTGTCTGTCTGTCTGTCTGTCTGTCTGTCTGTCTGTCTGTCTGTCTGTCTGTCTGTCTGTCTGCCTGCCTTCCTGCCTGCCTGCCTGCCTGCCTGCCTGCCTGCCTGCCTGCCTGCCTGCCTGCCTGCCTGCCTGCCTGCCTGCCTGCCTGCCTGCCTGCCTGCCTGCCTGCCTGCCTGCCTGCCTGCCTGCCTGCCTGCCTGCCTGCCTGCCTG